ATGCAATCATTCAGGGGGAGCATTCATGTGTATGCTGAAGTTGTTGTTGTTGCTTTTGTTGTTCCGCTATAGATGCTCTGGTATGGGATTTTCCCTTGAGGGGAGAATCTATTGTGTATGACAAGAGGAGTACTGAACCTGTCTGATTGTACAAGCTTTTGAGTTGTGTTGTGTTTATAGAGTTTATATGGTTTCATGTAACTTTTGTTTGTGATTTTATTTCTCTCTCCGGGTTATTTGGTCTTTGGTTGTTTTAGCCAAAATTTTTCAAATGGGGAGATTGTTAGGTCTATGATTTTATGGTTGGCAACAATTTGATCAAAACATGTTTTATTTGAAAAACATGTATTGCATCCTAATATTGAAACAAGATGCCATAACATCTTGACCAACTGGTACAACAGAGTCTGCATGTACCTTATTTGACATATGTTCTAGAAGATGTTGTAACATGTTACAACAAAACATCTTGATAGTACAGTGGATATTTATCCTTGAAGATTTATTTGAAAATTTGAGTATCTAGAATATTATGTACTCATAACTGGCGCAGTCAATCAAAGATTTTATTAGAAACAAGAGCAGATTTGATTAGTTTCTAAAAAGGATCGTTGATACTTTTTAGAAAATATTTATGAGATTTTTTTCTTTTTTTACGGAGAAGATTCTGCAGGTTTTGGGAGCTGCTGATTGGATTTGATGCAAAAGTTTATATAAGGAGTCGTTCAAGACCTAGTTTTTTAAGCATAGTTTTTATTGTAAAACCTTGTGAAAAATAAGGGTTTAGGATATGATAGTTCCTTAGGTTCTCCGTGTGTTTATTTGTACGTTCTTATGTATCTTTGATGCATTTGAGTTGATTGATTGTTACTTGTTCATCAAGTTATTTTTATCCTTGAAGCTTTTAAGCAGGAGTTGAGTGTTGTTCTTAGTGAAGCTTTTAAGAAAACTAAGTGTTTGTAATTTAGAAGTGTGTTCTTCCTATTTGATTTCTTGAGACATTCCTTGAAATTGGGATTAGTATTTTATCACTCCGCTGATTAGGAGTGAGAGGGGTTCTCATATGTAGGAGGTGCCTAGATAGAAGTTGCACTAGGTAGGGATTAAGTGAGGGGTGCAAACTCATAGTAGATTTCCTTTCTGGCTTGGTAGTTCCCATAATAGGTGAATTTGCACTGAACTGGATTAATAATTCTGGGTGCTCTTTTACTTTTTGCAAGTTATAATTTTGCATTGTTGTTATCTTGTTGTTGTTTTGTCAGCAGACGTCGTAATACCTGCTGTGACATTGTATGTTGTTAAGACATCAGTCTTGACATCTGATATTGTGTGTGTCAGAATTTCAATTATCTTTGATTTTAGCAATACATATGATCCTTGAGTCTTGTTGATGAGGCTTGATATATTTCCTTAATAGTTACTATCATTTGAGATGTTGAAAGATTAAATTGACTTTGACCATATACCATAAGTTTTCACATGAGATTTGTTGGACTATTGTGATGACTTTAAAAGGAATGTCTTTAGCTCAACTCAAAAGGATAGTTTGATCAACCACTTTGTACATCTTTAACCACTTGAACTAATTTTAGTAATTACATGACTCCAAGTGTTGTCATCATCAAAATTATACATCATCAAACTAAGCATTTGTTGGTTTACTTGTTTTTTGTTATCCATGAGATTCACCATCTTGAGTCATTTCTTAATTATAGTTGCAAGTACATAAATCCATAGCTCTTAGTTGCATATGAGCCATTTTTCATCCATCAATATAATTTTCACATATCCCTTCATGAATCTCTATAAATACCAGGGTGATCTCATCCCTGCCTAAACATCTCATCATGGGGAAAGCCTTTTCCATCTTGTATGGCTTTCCTCTTACCATAGTATACTTCATTGCTAATGTTCCGATCGCTTTTGTTTTAGCATGCGTTTAGATTTTGTTAGCCATATTTTCTTTTGTAACCATGTATATTTTTCTGTTATTTATCAAGAGTTTTATTTGGTGATTTTGTTGATTGGTCTATACTTTTTCCCATTCTTTGAGTTTTATCTTACTTAGTTTTTTAAGAAATTTTTTAATGAGGAAGATGTAAAGAACCTTTGTTTTTCTTGCTTAGGTTTTGGTATATATAGTCCCTCAAGAGTTTTAATTTTATTCTATTTGTACTATTTAATAATACTTTTAGAGTGTTACGTTATAGATACCAATCTTAGAAGGCCAACATAGTTGAAATGTCATAGTTTCCATTGCACTATAAATTATATAATTGATTTTAATGGTAACGTAGAATAAATCATGCAATTAAAAATATATAAATATTATTTTTATTCAACAATTTTAACTATAAAATTTGATTTGTTGATACGCACCACTTGTTTAGAGATCATCTCACCTCAATGATGCATTATTCAAAACAAACATCTTTGGTATGGTCTAAAGAGAAAATTTTCTTTTTACTATCATGAAAAGTTTAAAAAGTAATTTTAATAATTACCAATAAAAACATTATTTTTATTTATAAATTTAATATAAAAATTTGATGTAATGATATACACCATTTATTTCGAGACATTATCTCACCTCAATAGTGCATTATTCAAAACAAACAACTTTACTATGGTCTAAAGAGAAACTTTTCTTTTTACCAACATGAAACATTAAAAAGAATAGTTTTAATGATTAGCAAATTTATTGTGCAACTTCCTTACTAGGTAAATTAAATGAATAAACATAATAGAATAATGTGCTTGAGTAGAATTTAATGATGAAAATAATTTTGTAAAGGGTTTTTGCAACAACATAAAGGCTAAAGACCATTTATTATATACTTAAAAAGTTAAAACATCATAACTTTATGCACTATAAAAAGATTAACTCATAATCTTTCTTTTACATGCAAAAAGAAAAAAAAAATATGGCTGGAATTCTCAAAGTTGTCAATGTTGTGATTCTATTTTTTTTCGTATTTATTGTTACAATAGAAGCTTATGGTCGTAAGTTATCTTTTCATAATATATTTAATTTCTTTTTTACTTTATTATTCGTAAACAAGTTTTTTTTTATCAAGTTTTAGTAATATTATTTTATTTTATTTTTTCATTGCAGAACATACAAAATGTGAGACAGATGGTGATTGTCTAAAAAATCTATACCCATATTTTTTTAGTCGGTGCATTGATAACAAATGTGAATTGTTCAGGAAAAAAATTTATGAAATTCTATGATTACTTAATCTATGAGTACAAAAATCTCATATAAAGAGGAATAAGTTATTTGCTAGCAAAAGAAATATGCAATAAGCTTTATGATATATTATTTCATGAATTGTAGTTTCATTAATAATTTTTAAACACTTCAATTTACATCTATTTTAGCTTTAATAGACGTTCAAAGGTCCTTATCATGAACAATTAAATAGAGGGATGAGTTAAACACTTAAATATGTACCAAATCTTCATGCTCGTCCAATTGACATACTCTAAAACCAACAACATCTTGACTAAGAGGAAAATAATGCATATAGATTACATTTTAAATAATGAAGTTTCTTAAGATCCATTCCACTGGAGTTACAATTTTTTAAGTATTCATACCACAAGCTGTAATTTTAAAATTTAAATAATGTTTTAAAGAAAATTAATTTCTCCTAAATCAAATATAGACCCCAACAAATATTATGAATTCGTTCCTCATGTTACAATTCACTAAGAATAAGGAAAATAACTTTGAAGAAAGCTTCTAACCCCGAATTTTCACATATTAATTTTAAATTATCAAATATTCGAATTTTCCACAGAGTTATTGTAAAGATTTATCTGTAAAAATGTCATCAAATTTCGGATATATCTACGAATTTTATCACGGATTTCAAATGTTGAATTATAATATAAATCCGTAGGTAATTTCACAGAAAGATTTCTTGAGAATTCACTACGGACTATTATTTATTTTTTAAATATTCTAATTTTTAATTAAATAAAAGGTATATAAATTTTGATATATATTTATATAATTCTTCAACTTGTATTTTTTTTTTAAATAAAATGTTTTTCAAAAATAATTTAATAAATTTAAATGTTTTTTTAAAAATATTAGTAGTTTTGTTTAAAGTTTACAAAAAATTATTAAATTTTATTTTTTCTATTTTGTTAATTATTTTGATGGTGTTTTTTTATTTAGTTTTAAAAAAAATTATGGTAAAGAATAAAATTAAAAATAATATTTAAAAAAAATTATGATATATAATAAAATTTAAAAAAATATATGAATTGTAATAATCAGAAAGTGGTAATCCCGAACCTGATATTTAATAACTAATACATGACTGAACACACTATCATTAATTATTATTTTATTGAAATAAAAACTATTTAAAATATATTATTCTATCTTAAATTAATTGTTATTTTTCTCCATTTAAAATAAAACAAAATAGAAAATCAACTTTCGTAAACAATAATTTCGCAACAAACGGATAAAACAAAATAGAAAATTAACTTTCGCAAATAACAATTTCTCAATCACAGATTTCAAAATCAACTTTCACAAACACTAATTTCGCAATCACTGATTTCTTTGAAACAAACTAAAACTTAATCGGAACCGCTGATTTTCGTAAACACCAATTTTTGCGACCATCGATTTTTCAAAATCTCTGAATTTCACAGCCACCGTCCGTAAACACAATCACCTTCACCGACGATTTATTGTCTCGCCGTTCTTCTGATCACCTAAACAACAAAGATGATTTTTTAATTTGATGATCTATGAAAATATGAATTGTTGGCATTGATACTGACCAAATTTCTTCTCTTGAATATCCATACCTTGAAGAATATCACATTCTCCATTAAACCTTTGTATGTAAAAATTACAAAATAACATGGTATAGACAGGTGGGTCCATTGGGTCCACATTCTTAACTGAACACTACTTCCAAACTAAGTTAAGTGTAGTTATTCTACTAACAGTTTTCTCCATTTCAATTACCATGGCTACAGCTCTTTCTCTTTCCTTCTCCTTAGACCCTCAAAACCGCTTCAACACCATCACCACAACCAAAACGACTCGTCGTTTCACATTCTCCACCCTCCCTCACCGAAAAACCCTAATCCCAAATCACTTCAAACTCTCCTCTTCTTCCCATTCCCAATTCCAAACCCTAATCCCAAATCACTTCAAACTCTCCTCTTCTTCCCATTCCCAATTCCAAACCCTAATCCAACCCGGTAAATTCCTCACGAACGACGAACTCGAAAAACTCCAATTCCTCTCCTCATTCCTCTACTCTCATCAACTCCAATCCGGCACGGTCTGGGTTCGAGTTATGAGAGACAGCGAAGTGGATGCCATTGTTTGTTTACTCGCGGATTCGTTCGCGGAATCGATGATGTTTATGAAGGGGTATATCAATGTCTTGAGGTTTCTTGTGAAACAGTATTTGATTGAGCGGAGGAGTTCGATGCCGCATATGGCGACGCTCGTTGGGTTTTATAGAGGGCTTATTGATGGGGAAGATGAGGAAATGCAGTTGGCGGGGACTGTGGAGATTTCTTTTGATAAAAATGGGGCTAATGCTACTCTTCCTTCTCCTACTCCTCCCAGGGATTCTCCTTATATTTGTAACATGGCTGTGGAAAAGTCTCTCAGAAGGTAAAAGGAAAATTACACACTCTAGGGTCATTTTGTTGTTTTCATTATGCAAGACTAAATTTTACCAATACAATGCATACTTAATTTCAAGAGTGAATAGGAAAATAGTTTATTACATTTTCCATTAGTTGATTTCACCTTATTTCATTAAGCTTTTAACTGTAGTTTATGAAAACAATTTACAACTTGTATGAAAACTGTTTACCACATTTTCTCTTTGATATTAGAAATAACTTATACATGAGCGCTTATTCAATAAGTGCTAAATTAAGGTGTTTATCCAAGCAAACCTAATTGTATGTAAATGTGAAGTCTAGGACTACTGTATGCAGGCGAGCATTTAAAAACTAGTTTGATCTTATTATTAATTGTTTAGTAGGACATTTCTAGGGTTAGTTTTTAAGACAGTCTAGTCTAGTCATTATTAAATACTTTATGTAATTCACCTTGCCCGAACTTTGATCATAGAAAGACAGAGTATGAAGACAACTTATCACAAGTAATTTGCTATAATCTCTGTGATAGCAATTGTAAATTTGTAATGTTGTTTTGAGTATGCTTCTAAATTTACATAATGTTATGCTCTTGTTTACCCTTTCTTATGTTAATCTTTTTCATGAGTCAATGCATGCTATGGAAAAGCTTATAATAGTAAGTAACTTTGAGGATCCAAGTTTAAGATTGAGGTAATCAAAGATATATTCGCATCCCGAAATTCCGATATTTCACATTTTCAAGCACTTGTTATGTCTTTTAATTAAGCAAAAAAATAAAATGCCGAGTGTCTGTGTCGCACCTTAATGTAATTGGATTATATCTTTCTAAGAGTGTGTTTCTGGTTATTTATTCTCTTCAGGAGGGGCATTGGATGGCACCTTCTAAAGGCAAGTGAGGAATTGATTTCTCAGATGAGTTCATTGGGAGAAGTTTACTTGCATTGTCGAATGATTGATGAAGCTCCATTTAACATGTATACAAAAGCTGATTACAAAATTGTAACGACAGACAGTATATTAGTTCTGCTGATGTTGCAGAAACGCAAGCACTTGATGTGCAAGAAACTTCCTCTCATAAGTATGCCTTCAGAAACAGATTTGTCATGTTCTGATGAGTAAAAGACTACATGTATGTGTTCAAGACTGCTTGATATTTTGATGTAATTTTCCCATCATATTCTTGATAAAAGGCCGCATTTATGTCAAGCTTGCACATGATCTTATACTCAATGTTTCCCATGATCAAGTTTATATTATATTTGTGGGTTTTTTTTGTTTTGATTTTGTTTCAGTAATGTTAGCAAAGATGGTTGCAGTGGTTTTAATTTGACTCGAGGATGAAGATTGGTTTCAAGCATCCTTATATACTCGCTTACTTGTAGGGAAGAGGCCTGTTGTTTTGCAGGTAAATTACAAAAGAATGTTTCTTAGTTTCTTTATTTACTGCCCGGCTTTGCAAATAACTGATGAAAAGATTGTAAAGCTGGTCCTTTGTCACAAATTACCAGGTTAGGTACATCGTTCTTTCTTGAAGAACCTACTAACATTAGACATGCATGGGAAATATACATAAAATTGGCTCTGGATTTCTTCAATTCAATCAAAACAGTGGTTTGTCTATGCATCAAGGATTTACATATTGGTCATTAAGTTTGAACATGGCACATTTGATCGTTTGAACTGAACCATTCATGGCTGAAAGAAGTAGGACAAGGGTGGTTGACTCTTGTCACAGTCTCTTAGGTACTCCTTTCATGTAGTTGGTGGTGCGGGTATAATATGGTTGAAGATTAAAAAAAAAAAAAGGCTCGTTTAAGATTTTCCCACAATGGACTTAGTTCTTCATCTTGTGATATCATCAAGTTAGTTATCTTTATACATAATTGTGCAAAATACTAATATTAATCGGTCTGGTGTATATATATGCAAAAGTACCAAACATAGTTCACTCTGTTTATTTTCAACAAGAAATCACCATAATTCTGGTGTCTAAACTTATGGTGTCATTAGATCAGTCTCAAACTATGCATAACCATTCCCAAGCCTTTTGAATTTGTATAGATAATCATTTGGATCTCTTTTACACAATCTGCCATTGAAGGCCGCTCATTACTTTCAGTTCGTACACATCTTGATGCCAGATTGGCTAACATGACTATAGACTGAATGGTGTAAGAATTTCGAGCCATCTCCGGATCTATCACCTTACGGAGTTTCTTGCGGTCATTCAGTATGTGCCTCACCTGCATATAAATGTGAAATATATTAAAGTCTTGCTGCTGCTCGTCTTAAACTCTGGAACATATGAATGTAAAATATATTAAAGTCTTCCTACCTGTAGTACTAGGTTTTGATCGTTAGGACCTTGGTTTAGATCTACAGCTCGGCGTCCAGTCAAAAGCTCCAGAAGAACAACACCAAAAGCATAAACGTCACTTTGGAGAGTGAGTTTCCCTGTCTGTTGTCAAATGAAATAATTTAGTGTGAAAATACAATTGTAGCAGTAAACAGATTTTCTAAAAATAAGAAGATAAAAAAGTAAAAGTTTACCTGATAGAATTTTGACATATTAACATTTGATTTGGGTAATAGATAAACAAAGTCAGTTTTAGCTACAACATTAGGTGGGAAGTTTGTCTATTTATCCTTTTTGATGTAGTCATGCTCCTTTCAGGTCATACATACCCCAGTAAAATAAAAGGAAACTGAAAGACTTGAGATAAAATTTCAGTTTCAGACTTTTAATGCAGACCAGATTTTGAAAGTTAAGCCAACTTTTACTGGATGAGTTGATGTTAGATTGCTAACTTAATTTGCCTTATTAATTTATTTTATGGTGTCTTACCCATTCACAACAGGTTACTAGTTGGTGTTGCATTGCTGTTGCTCAATAAATGATTTAGCTAACTAAGTACAGTATGCATGACGTTAAAATATAAGTTAGGTATATTGTGCATGTAATGGTATCCTCTTTTGGAGCAATAGTGGATCTATGGTACTTGAAAATATGAAGCTGATTACACCATATGCTTGTGATAATTATGGCAAATCTCTTTTCTTATCTTTATGACTGAATAACATGAAAAATATAGAAGAAACTGTCTAAACATTGAATCTTGAAAGTTGAACCTAGTGATTTTTTTTTTGTTCTTGGGGAGGGTGGGTGGATATAGAGTTATAGACATAGATGCGTACCGAAGTATACTCGGGATCAAAGTAACCGAAGGTACCAAGCACTCTGGCAGTCACATGTGTCTCCTGTCCTTCTGGCATTAACTTGGCGAGCCCAAAATCAGATATCTACATAAAGACTTAATTATAGTTCTTACATATTATTGTTAGAAAAGTTGTTATAAATCATTACTACGATTTTATTTATACCTTAGCTTCATAGTTGGCATCTAAGAGAATGTTGGTCGATTTGAAATCTCTATGAACAATAGGAATTCCAACATCCGAACTTGAATGGAGATAAGCAAGCCCTTTTGCAGCTCCCAGTGCCACCTGTAGTCTTTGAGGCCAATCAATGTTTCTTTCTCCAATTCCTAAAATTTTAGAGTAATAGAAGCTTGATGTAAGAAGTTTTGTTAGTTATGTGAAGTTCTTGGGTAAAATTAACAAAGTAACAAACCATTCAAATGATCTTGCAGGTTCCCGTTAAGCATATATTCATATACTAAGAATCTGTGCTTTCCATCAGCACAGTATCCTATCAAGGAAACAAGATTTGGGTGGCTCAGTCTGCTCAAAATGTCAACTTCAACTCGGAATTCACGTTCCCCCTCTGCTTCTTTTATTGCTGGAAGCTCCATTTTCTTGATTGCTACAACCTTCAAAAGGAGACATTTTGTATCAGTATGTATTTATTTTCATCAAGATAACACATTTTGAACCATTTTTGTAAGTTTTGAAAAAAATCTTCTGTTATCTGATGTTAACAAAACCTTGAAAATCACGATAAATTCTCGTGGGCATATAAACTAACGTGCAGAACACATTACCTCTCCTGACCGCAAAGTACCTCGGTAGACTTTGCCAAATCCTCCTTTTCCAAGAAGATTTTCTTCACTGAAAGAACATGTTGCCTCTTCCATTTCCTTGAGTGTGTAAACAGATGATCCATGCAATCTCTTTGTAGGACGCGGTGTTTTATCATCAAGCTGCCAAAGTTCTGCAGGTTTGTAAACCCCTGGATAATGTGTGTAAATGTTACATATTCTATGCAATGATATAACAATAAAAACATGCTTTGAATTTAAAACATGAGAAAAAAGAAAAAGTAGAGAAAATACATGGATCAGTATGATCTTGGGACTTGCTTCTTCGGCGCTTATTCCAGGCTGAGACCAAACCGAATGGCATGATTAGCTTCTCTATCTAATTTGTTGTGTTTAAGGATTGAAGTGTTAGGTTTTAACTTCTAACATAGGAAACATACAATTGGATAGATATGTTTAATTTCACTACACACTCAGTAACTACCCTACATGTAGAATGTTGCCTGTAGAATTTCCAAGTAAACACTTTTTTAGTACTATAGGTGTGAAGTAAATAATTTCAAAGCTCTTATTCCCATATAAACAAGTAATTTTGATAGCATGGGAAAATCCTCTATAAGGAATACGTATGGAGCAAGTGAAGTTAGATTAGAAGAATACTTAACAAAACATCTTCCAACAACACATGGAGAGAGACAGGATATTGTACTTTAAGGTTAAGAGAAATATTAGAAAAGTAGGTATTGCTTACTTTACTATGGTTGGGGGTTGTATGTAGTTTGAAAAGGAAATGGGAACTGCAGCATCATTCTCCATGTTAATCATCTTTTATACGTTTTACCGTTTACAGATTGAAAATTAATGGTGGTTGAGATAGCATTTTCATTTGTTCTCTTCATTATAAATTTGTTGTGTTACCTTATTTCTAAATCTTTCTCTTGTATGGTGCAACCGTCTTTATTTATATTAAAGTCTCTCATCATCACCTTTTGACGATTATTTTTTCTAGCACTAGTAGTAAGAAAAAAAATGAGAGTTTATATATTTTTTTATAGTCCATTAATTATATATAAATTTAGGGGTGTTCAAAACCAAACCAACTCAATAGAAAATCGCAAATTAAATTAAACCAAAATCGCAAAAAATCGCATTTGGTTCGGATGTGTTTGTATCATCTTTTAACAAAACCGTAAGGTTTGGTTTGTGGTTTGTACTTTGTAAACTGAATCAAACCGCATTATGTTACAATCTAAATTTTATTTAACTCACAATCAATCCAAACTTAAACCTATTATACATTAGTCTTATGATTACGAATAATGTTTTCATCCTTATACTTATGGTTTCAGTTACGGTCTTCTTAAATTTCTCATAGCATTATCGCGTCTTTTTCGCTATATACATCTTGTCTCTTCTTCTCTAATCTCTACTCTGTTATATTCTTTCTTTTTCACCTTCTCATTTTTATGCAAATGTTTCCTCTTTGAATTTCGTTTTTATCGCACATCTTCTTTAATCTCCCATCTCTTATGTTCTTTCTTTTTCATCTTCACTAATCTCTCATCTCTTCTATTTTTTGTTTCATTATGATATTTTTGATATTGTTTTATGCTATTATTTTATATTTATTATTTCACTTTTGTCTAATCTGAATTTTACATATTAAATGAGAAGTTGAATGTCTAAATATGATGAGTTTTATTGTTATTTGGTAGTGTATGAATGATTAAATACAAAGTTATGTTATCATTTATATGTATATGCATGGGTCAATAAAATATTTGTAAAAAATTAAACCAATCAAACAGAACCAAATCGCATTGGTTTGATTCTTTTTTTCTTAAAAGTCAATCGAATCAAACCAAACTGCATATTTTTTTTCTTGCGGTTCAGATGATTTTTATTGTCAAAATCGTCCAAACCGTGCCGCGAACACCCTTATATAAACTATTGATATCATTTACTTTACTCTGAAGTAAAATCTATAAATTGGTCATATATATGTTGCAACGGAAGAAAGCGGATATTTTTTTGATTTTTTTTTAAATAACCATTTTAAAAAAAAAAAACTCAAATAATCATATTTTCAAAAAATTTACCAAAGTAATCACATTTCAAACA